TGTCGGTGGTAAATTTCAGCAACCTAAACAAAGATAAACACAAAGCCCAGGGACCCAGAGGTGGCTGTGACTGTTCAGCATCATCCCCGTCAAACCAAGGGTGTCTATCTAATCAGCCATCTGATGAGGCCATCTCTGGGGAGCTCACCAACTGGGGTCAGGTCAAAGCCTAAAATGTTTCCCTCCTGTCAGTTGAAAGGGCTGAGCAATCTTAACATACACACACCTAACAACCCTGACATTTTAGAGTACTAATACACTTTGTGCATTTTGTAATACACACTGAAGTCCCATTCTGCCATGTTTCTGCTGAAAAGCCGACCCACACAGAGGAGTGCATTTTGGATAAAAAGACATATATTCATATAGATATAGATCAGTCACTACCTCTGTGATCCTCCACAAGCACCTAAAATAAACTCCAAATCTTTTACAGCATCACTACAGAATGAAAAATGCAAATGAATAAAAAAGCAAATTGGCTTACTGGGTCTGAATAACAGTCATCATATACGAGCAGTGAACTTATGTAAACTATCTGGGACCTTCCTGCTCACACACACACACTCTCTCACACACACACACACACACACACACACACACACACACACACAAACACACACAAACACACCTGACTCATACATATTTTGCTGTGAGTAACTCAGATGACGGTTAACACTTAAATTCTATCATTTGGTTTCGTGGTTTACGTGGTACTTTCCTTTAAATCATGGTCTAACCCTCCATCTCTTTGAGTTTTGGATTTCAGATTTTTAGCTTTATTACGACACTAATTCCATCTAACAGCTCGTGGGACTGAATAAACCTTGCAGTGTTGTTTTAATATCACATTAAAACTGACATTGGTGGGCATATAAAATGTCTCACTTCTTATAGTATCAGACAAATCACTGATTTAAAGTTTTATTTCCAAGCGCTTAAAATGATATATAATGAGAGCAATTGTCATAGTCAAAAGTACAAAAACTGCGAACAGTCATTCTGCTGGCTTGATGACATGCAGATCAAAACACACATTGCAGGCTCGAAACAGCTCACAAACTGTACTGGCCTTATTATTCACCTAATGTTTTCCTCTCCTGGTCTGCTTTGATTCATCATGCTTGTGTTTGAATTGACTGCACAAAGAAATAATGACAGTGGACTGGGGAATAATGCTCTGTCGAGGGACTCATTAACAATTACAAAAATCTGTGAACAGTCAAGGATGGAATGGAAAATATATGCATGTACATTTATTCATATCCTTTAACCCTCCCAGTGTCGATGTTAAATGCATTTGTTTGTGTTTTTACAACATCAGAATAACTCGGGCAAAATATAAAACATGCAGCTTTTTACCATTCAGCTGGGTGCCCCTACAATCTCATTTTGCCTTGAGACTTACAAAGGCCTGGGGTGATACTAGCTGTTTACATAGGGCTTTACTGACGCATGTCATCCACAGTCTATTCACCAAGCCCTTTTTTTTTTTTACTATGTTCTATCCTGCAATGCTTCAAAGGAAGAAACAAAAAGGAGCTGCTCACTCTGCAACAGGAACATTGTTACTGTTGTAGTACAATATTATGATATGTTGTCTTTGAGCTTCTAAAGACAGATGGATGAAGAGAGAGAGAGAGAGAGAGAGAGAGAGAGAGAGAGAGAGAGAGAGAGATAGAGAGGGAAGATATATCTTTTGAATGTCATGCACCAGACAGCACTGCGAGGAACATTTCTGGGTCTTAAGATTCAGAGCCTAGAGCAGACTTCCTTTCTTACAGCTCACACAGTAAAAATCTCTCAGAAACAAGGGTGTCTGAGTGATCTGTCAAAAGCAAATGTCAATCTTTTTTGTCATCCACACCCAGGGTTCTCGCTTGCAAAAGTCCCCGAGGGGAGCTGAATCTCAGCCCACCACTTTCTTTCTCTCATCCTGCAGTCACCGTCACCAAAGCCAGGGAGGAAGTGTCACATCAAGCCGCTGTGCCTCTGACAAGGGTTCGTAGGGGGAAAAAAAAACACTATTTACACAAACAAACTGACATGCACACACACACAGACACACAGACACACAGACACAGACACAGACACAGACACACACACACACACACACACACACACACACACACACACACACACACACACACACACACACACACACACACACACACACACACCATGCCCTTGCAGCTTCCCATAAATATCCTACAAGATGCAACTTTCCCCCACAAGCTACCAAACTCTCTCTCTCTCTCTCTCTCTATCTCCCCATCTTCAGTCCTCCTGTCAGACAGGTGCCCACACAGCTGCCCATCAGCATCCCTCAGCGTAGCAGCCTGTCTGTCCAATGACAACATGCTCTGTCCTTCGCTCCCAGTGCTCAGTTTATACAGTCAAATAATGCAGGGAGCCAATTATAGCCAAGATGTCTACTGCAGCAAAAATAAATGGCAAAGCTTTCATGTATGAGTGCTTTAAAGATGTTTATCTTTCACACAGGGCGGTGAGCTATATTCTAAAATATGTTAGCAGAGAATTTTTTTCATGTTGAGCTCCAGCATTTGGGAAGCCATATAAACTGGGTTAAATAATCCTTAAAATAATGGCAGATAAGGGATTTATTAGGTATATGCATCACATAATTACAACCACATCTGCAGTATCCCATGTCTGCGAGCACACATCCAGCAGACCACAGAGGAAAGTATGTGTGTGGCTGAGGGAGGAGGGTGTCTGTATATAAGATGAAAAAGCCCTATAAACATTTAAATGTTTGCAATCACCATCTGGCCTGTCTAGATAGCCTTCACATCCTGGTGCACTGCAGTGTCAAAACCTAAATGCACAGAGGATGTGCTCCCGTAAATATTTTGATTCAGCTCCATCATGTAGTGTACACACACATCATGCTTGGTCTTGCAACTTACATTGCCCATCTGATTTAAAACTCTTACATTTATTTTTAGACTGAGGACCGAGACTGGAGGAAAAAGGGGATTTGAGAATGAAATAAATAAATAAGAAAATTCCCAGCAGTAGACATAATGATAGGAAGCACTGTGTTGATTTTTTATTTTTTTTTTCAAATCAAGCAGCTATTCAGGTCTCTGGTGAGGCTCTCGCGCTTGCTTACACAAGCAAAAGCTTTCAGTGGCATCTGCAGCTGCATTCATGCTTTACAGGTACACTGCAGGCTCTTCACACAGCTGCCTCTGGCAAAGTAGCTCTGACTCCAGGTGCGCCGTCCCCTCGACACATCTCGACACCGCCCTCGCTACTTCTACTGTCGGTGCCAGCAACACAAACATGGGTCTTGGCTGATAACCATCCTTAGACATACAATAATCACACTCTGCACCGGTCACATATACACGATACACATTTTTAAGGGTCACAAGTAATTCTTTACATCATTCAATAGTCATGACACCATATCTCACCTATGCTTCCCATTAGTCCAAAACCACTATCCTGACAACACCTCCCAAAAGCCGCCAGACAACCTCCCACTCAAACATTTTCCACATATACCACCTAAAAAACTGGCTTTATGTTTTCCTTTCTCTGTCAGCAGGTTATAAGAGACCTATAGCCCTTTATTCAACACTGCCATCTTTATTCTTTCAAATGGGATCAAAGACTAACTGGGATAATTCCTCCAAGCTCCAGGGTTTATCTTCTGAGCAGTACTGAGTGACAAGAAGAAGCTGCATTTTATCCCATGCTCTGTCACTGTTTTTCCCCATCTAGCATTGTACTGCTTGATTGTACTCTTATGAGTCACAGAACCGCACCTGCGCCCATGTGTTAAGTACTGACAAATAAAAGCCCAGCGTCCATTTACACAACAAAGAGATGTAACCCGCGAGGCAACCATTCTTTGCCTCCCTCCCTCCGTCTGACAAGACCTCAAATATATCACTTACTTAAGAGGAAGGCAGCACACGTTCCTGCTGCTGCCAGACACTGCTTCTCTCCCTCATGCTCTGACAAACTTCTTTTCAAATACAAATCCAGAAACAAAACACATGCCAGCCTTTTATGTTCCCCGGCCTGTTCCATATTTGATTTCAGAGAAACAGCAGTAGAGGTGACGATTATCAAAGCTCTGAAAGGCAAATCCAGTCTCAGACTCCCTCACCCAAAAAAAGAAAGAAAGAAAACCTTTTCATTGTTTAAGGAAAGAAAAGGGTGGGATTTTGGTAAACCAGTTGCGTCTTATTGAAAATAAGAAAAAAAATCATTGTCTTGTACCAGTTCTAGGAATTTAAGGCAAGGCTTAATAAAACCTTTGCCAATCCACCAGGGTTTTAACAATGAACATCTGACTTACTGATTTATGCATATTAATGAACTCCAACACCCCCTGTCTAAGCGAATGCAAGCTGAGCTCCACACTTCTCTGCATCCTAATGGTTTCTGCTCCACCGGGATCATTACCAATAGAAATTTCAGATATTCTGTGCTATTAATCTCTGTCTGTCCTCCTGTTCGGCTACGTAATGACTAATTAAACATCAAAAGAGCAGAGCTGGGGATCCGCTCTGACAGCCTCTCTTTCTCCCAGGAGAGGCTGTGAGGAGGCCAGACTGTGACAGGGCAGCGCTGAAAATCAATCACCCCAAGGTACACATGTGTATGCAGGCACACACACATTCATGCATGCGGGTACACACACATATAACCACAAAAATGTACACTAAGCTGTTCCCCACAGAGAATTTTCCATACTACTATTTAACAACAAGCACGTAAACAACAAACATGAAAGGTCAGAACTTTGCTTTCTAAATTAACAGGCATCACTGGTGTCACTTTTTCAAAGACCCACAAAAACAACTGAATTCCCATCCAAGAAATGTGGTAGTGATGTCAAGAGCGCTCTTTGTGTGAGAGGGAGGGCGTGTGAGTAATGTGTGTGTATGTGTGTGTGTGTCTGCTTAAGTAAGCTCACTGTGAAATCTATTTATATGAGAGGTAGATGATCTTCCACTCACAGATGAAGGCAGGCCAGGAGGGACCTTGCGAACCTTTTTTGTTTGTAGAGGATCTGTGGAGAGATGAAAGCACATCTATTCATTCACAGGCAAAAAGGAAGCAACTGTGAATGTGCTGTAAACAAGCCATAACTCTGTTTTTCCACAACACCGCCTCGCCAACAAAACTCATTCAAAGTACTTCTTGTGAATACACTGTGACTGCCACACATACAGACTAAAATGTACCTGAAACGGCTTTTACAATAATCTTTTGTTTCAGCTCGTCTTTTTTAATTCCACTTCACTTATATTCGTTTTCAACTTCAAGAGCACTGCATCACTGACAATGTAAGAGGGACATAAACTAGCAGGAAGATTACTGTTGTCTTTTTTTGTAATTTTTCTAATAATACTTTTTTATTCTTTTTCAAGTCTTAAGCTCCATCCGGACTGGATTTATTTCTGTGGGGCAGGTGAGGTGAATTTTGCTCTGGTCAGTGATTTTAATCCCCTGCAGAGAGCACATGTGGATAATTTTTCCTTCCCACCCCCGTAATAATAACAGCTGCAATTACCTATTTTTCAGCAAATTTGTTGGTCCTCCTGTAATCTAAATCCCATCCAGAGTGACATCCTTGTATTTTTAAAGTGGATCTCTGGAGTTTTTTTTTTTCCATGGGAAGAGCTGTTTGTCCTTCAACCTTTTTTCCACACAGCTCTGTGTGAAAGTTTAATTCTGTGTGAAAATGGAAGAGGTCAAAAAATGTTTCCCCTGGTCCGATGAATGGAAACATTTTACCAACATCACGTAGGCCTATTTTGGTACCAGTATATAAATGCCCATCAAATGTTGAAATGTAGGTAAGAGCTGGAGTTGTCTTTTAAGTAGGTCTTCTGAATGTCCATGTGTACTACAGACAACATCCTGTAATTTTGCGTTGGTTAAAATGCCGTCTGAAATAAGAGTTGTTCCTATACCGATACTGCCTAAAATACTGAATCAACAATCGAAAACAAACAACTGTCTAACAAAGACTATCCACCGATCCAATACCTCGTAATTTATTAATAAACTTTATAGTTTCACACCCGGATAAAACAGAAGTTTTCCTGGAAATCGATTCTTCTTCACCGCACTAAAGTAGTTACCAGTGGCTGCACAGTGCACCTTCCTGTGTAAGCTACTGTTTTAGAGCAGTGAAGAGGAATTGATTTCTGGTAAATAGCGCAACGTTAGCTGTTAGTAAAACGTCAGCAATTTGGCAGTATGTTACACTGGAAGGTCTCACCAGTGAACGGGCAACATGTACAGGACTCAAGGCTTTAATTTTGAGAGGTGGAACTAGTGTTTGGACAACTTGTGTGGGAATTGTTACTTATTGTTAGATTATATGACATTCATGTATGTGTTCATGTTTTACAAAGGGTTTAACCTGAGTGATGCCATACTAGCAATCAATTAGATATCATACAGATAGATAAAGATTTATTTATCTAAATACTTTAGAATCAATTCATGAGAAAAAACTGGAGAAAAAGATTAAAAGAAAACTAGACAATCATTTTTAGGACGTTTTGTGTCAACACTGTTGAGATTGAGATGGAACTGACCGATGGGCGGAGGATCTTGTAGAGGACGTCTTCTGGGATTGGCCGCAGTGAAGGAGTAGAACGGAGCAGCTGACTTCCCTGATGTAGTCACTGACTGACCAGGACTCGCCAACCCAATGTCTGACCTTACAGAAGACTGAAAGAGAAAACAAACACACAGATGCTTAAACGGCAATAAATTGTCAGGAATGTGTGTGACTATTTCACTTGAGTGTAGTAAAAATCTCAGAGTCAGCCAGCAATTCCCGGACCCATCAACTACATTTTTAAATTGTCTCTATTTGTATTATGCAATCTACATTGAACTTAAGAACAGTTTTGTCCTAAATAATACGGCTAAAGCATGCAAGCATTTACAGTGCGTTCACTTTAAATAGTAAATATCACAATATCTTTATAAAAACATTACATTATAAAAATTAAAACACGATAAAACATAAAATGAAACCAAAAATAGTTTTTAGAGTAACATATTGCATATTAGGTGATATGTTATACAGTATATATTCTGCATCACAGGACAGACGGTGTCAGCCTTTGAAATCTCGCCACATCCTCCTATCACCAATATCTATTTGACCTCTACAACCCCAACTAACTGGGTTAAGAGGCCAATTAAGAGCTTGGTCTAATTAGAGTAATCGGCTACAGACCCGCAGAGCAGGGATCATGTGAGCGATGTCTAGTAGTTGGCTCAAAAACCTCACGTGCCCTCTTAAAATCTCCATTACAGGCTGAGGATTGACACAGAAACCACTGAGACCTTTCCAGCAGATGTTCTTCAGTTAACAGTTCACATCAAATATCAGAATGGGGGAAAAATGTGACCTCAGTGACTTTGACAGTGGCGTGACTGTTGGTGCCAGACAGTGGCTGGTTTGAGTATTTCTGAAAACAAAAAACATCCAATGAGCATCAGTTCTGTGGATGAAAACGCCTTGTTGAGGAGAAAGGTCAGAGGAGAATGGTCAGACTGGTTGGAGCTGACAGAAAAGGCCACGGTAACTCAGATAACCACTGTATACAACAGTGCTTGAGAAAAAAAGCTTCTTAAAATTCACAACACGTTGAACCTTGAGGCAGATGAGCTACAACAGCAAAAGCCCATGTCAGTTTCTACTCCAACAACAGAAATCTGAGGCGGCAGTGGGAAAAGGCTCTCCAACAACACTGGACTGTTGAGGACTGAGAGAAACGTAGCCTGGTCTGATGAATGTGGGTTTCTGCTGATGCACACAGAGGGTAGGGTCAGATTCTGGCATCGACAGCATGAATCCATGAACCCAACTTGCCTTGTTTCACCAGTTTCAGGCTGCTGCTGGTAGTGGTGTGATGGTCTGAGGAATGTTTTCATGGCACACTTTGCTCCCCCTAATACACAGGCTATCTGGGTTTTGAGGATGACCATGTGCTTCCCTTTATGGCCGCAGTTTACACATCTTCTAATGGTTACGTCCAGCACAATAATGCTCCATGTCACAAAGCAAGAGTTGTCTCAAACTGATTTCGTGAACATGACAATGAGTTCAGTGCACTTTAGATTTGGATCCAGTGGATTATCTTCTGTATGTAGAAGAGCGGGAGACAAGCAGCATGAACGTGCAGCTGACAAATCAGCAGAAATTATGTGATGCAATTAACATGGACCAGAATCTCAAAGAAACATTTCCAACATCTAGTTGAATTCATGCCACAAAGAACTGAGGCTGTTTGAGAACAATTAGTATGGTGTTCCTAATAAAGTGCTCAGTGAGCGAATATGTAGAATACTGTAACAGAAATGATGATGATGATTTCTCAGATCTAAAATGTTGGTCATCAAAAACAGTCAGAAACAGCATAACACAAATGTAATCTAAAGGGAAAAAAATGGTTCTGTAAAGTGACAACCCGTCACTGACATGACTGGCACAACAGCAGACCCACCTCTGCTGTTGCCTTTGTTCAATGATACTGAACCCCTGCAGCAACACTGACTCTGGTCTCCTTTATACAAGCTATTCAATCAGGAACCATTAAGGAGTCATGCATGTTTGGATGCCTGACTGTCTCTGACTTGGACTGTGAACACCTCTGAGTTAGTTTTATCACCCAATAATGACTTTGTGAGGGCTGCTGCATCTCATTCTGAGGAAGACGGTCAGTCATACAAGAATCAAAAAAATGTAATTCTTGCAGAATAAATACTAGTTTGAAACCTTTACAGCTCAAGATTGTACACATTTCCATATTGTATGCAGAGGTTGGCAGGAAACTTTGTGACACAAAGATCCAGAGATTCAGACCTGAAATGTTAAAATCATTTGCAGGTCATGTGAAGTGCACCCGAGCACTGACAGTCACAACTGAGTGAATAGGAAAATCTGATCCAACCATGCCAAGGCCCTCTCTGCCTCAGAAGTCACATGCCATGACGGGCAATTTGTGGGTCATGAGTTACAGTAGTAGCCACATGGCTACCTGCCATATGGCAAGTAGATCATGAGATCAATTGTCTTATTCAATCATTAGGCTCAACCAGTTGACAAAACACACAATGAAATGTTATAGGGCTGAAAAGCAGGCTATGAATCAATAGTGTTATTGGGTAAAATTAGATTGAAAATAAAGTCTTCCTGTTTCTGTTCTGAGAGTATTCACAATCTCAGATCTCCACAGCTGCCTGTCTGCACAAAACATTAAGAAAGGGTCTTTCTTAAATTGTCTCTGTATCTCATCAAAAGTGTCTGACTATCATGATTATGCAGTGTCATGTTAGAAGATTCTTTCACACTGAAGCTTAGACAGGAATAAAGAGATTTAAAATTCATCCAACCTTGATTAAATAAAACCATGGATTCCCTTTTTGAAACCAGTGGAAGAGGGGCAAGGTATAATATCTTTTTTAAGTTGGAGAAAGCATGACTAAACAACCTTTATTACCCAAGAGTGAAATTTCAGGGATAAATTCATGTTTCCCATCCATCCACCTGGGACAAAGGTTAATGTGGAGAGGTGGGTGTACAAGATGTCAAAATAAAAACTGGCTACATAATACCTCTGGTCTGTTGAGCTTTTACTGCTCACTCTAAATGTACAGATGTGTTTGGCACTCTTTCTGACTACCTACAACAATTTAGAAAAACTAGTTTGACTTGTTTTCAAGAGAACCCTTGTTATTGGGATTGGGGAACATACTGATATAGAAGCTGATATATGGTATCACAACTGTATATAGCTCTACTTTGATAGAAGCTTTGGGAGCAAAATGAACTTTACAGCTGTTTAAAGACTCACCTGGCAGCCAGATGCTCCAGGATCCCTCCCGTAGCCAAGAAATGAAGCCCTCTCTGATTTACCTGTAAAAACACAAAGGTCAGTTATAATCACTGTTAGCCTTCATCAAACGTGGGCATACACACGGACTATTACCTAATAGTAGACTACATACAGTATCCTGACTTCTTTGATTTGGTTCTTTATCAGAACCACGCCACTGCAAATTTATGACTGAACAATTTTTAACATTATTCAGGTGAGGGTCGAGCTAACGTAGTGTGGTGTTTGGACGAAGCACGCATCACACTCTCGTTGCACACCAGTAAAGTGACAGACAGGCCCAGTAAAGTCTTTATGGATTTTTTGACGGTCTATCGACAAGATTTCTTCCAGTTGTTCCCGATGGCCAGTCTGACCATGACAGACAAGTCTGTTATCAACGTGTGTGTGTTTGTGTGAGAGGGAGAGAGAGAGAGAGAGAATGAGAGGGGGGCAAGGATGGGCTGAGGTGAGCTGCATGCATGATGTCTTCACAGAGGCATATTAAGAAAAACTGAAAGCTTTACAAGCAGAGATTGACTGAAGGTGCAGAGTATTGAGCTACGATGTGCTTAACAGTTTGTCTTTTTAGGCAACATCAGTGCAAACAATACACAGTTCTATGTGCTGCAATATACTGACGTCTAATAACAAGACATGACATGCAAATGTAGTGGGAAAAAAATGAGAAAAGACCAGTCTGATAAAACTAGCACTTATGGCCTTAACCTTGTATATCATCCACAGTTTATAAATCAGGCTATTCATTTAAGAGGAATGCAAAGCTGTCTACCTATTGTATCAAATATATCAAGACATAGCTGCCAAGTCTGATTTCTTACATTGTAATTTCTTCAAGAATATCATGTCCTATCTCTGTGTACAGTTGGATTATAACAGTCCCACATGCAAGTTATAAAGTTATAAAACCCTCTTGTTTGTGAGCTTTTTCATTACCAAATTCACACCACACAAACATACACATATTTGTTGGACTTTAATATACACAAGCATGAACAAGGTGAGTTTCACAGGCTGCTGGAAAATAAAGATTTCTACTCTGGGACAAGGGCAGCAGTGTTATTTTCTGTTTTTCTTTCTTTACTACAGTAATAAAGTACTACTGGCAAATCTTAGAGGTGCTGTGCCTTTTACTGAGGTAAACAGATCACTTTTATTTGTTTTCTTTCACTTTTATCCACCTTCAACTTTGATATTATCTGATGCTTGCTGGAAGCAAAGAGGGAAAGAGGAGAAGGAGGGGTAGATCAGTGGATGGAGGAATTCACTGACTGACTGACTGATATTTATTTGATATATTTCACTGTCTTGCAGTAAACTGTCTAGCCTACGTGAGCTTTTAAAACAATCAACGCACATTAACTCAGACCTCCATCAGTGCATTTCATAGAAATGGGACTCCCTCAGGACCTGTTACTATGTACTATGAACTAAATGAACTACTTGATAGACATAGAGTCATTTAGACAAGTTGCACCGCCGTAGTTCTCTAAGTTGTAGCAGATTGGTTCCTTACTTTGACAAATCTTTTTTAAAAAGCCAAAAACTAAACCTGCGGTTCTGTAAAGTGGTGTTATGTGTCACAGAGTTTTCAGTATGGAGAGTATGTTTTCAGTGAATTAATTACTGATAGCGATAACTGTCAGAGTCCTTTTATCAGTGTCACATCCAGTGTGCACACCTCAAAGGAAAGCTCCCAAGTACCCATCAGGAGAAAAATAAAACTTACAGCACACAACACGCATGAATCATACACATCACAATATCCAAACTCAGCAGTTTTACTCCCCTGGAAAAACAAACAAACAAACAAATGAGAGCTCCTAGGGGAGAATGATGAATAACTTTAACAGCATCGTACATTATTTTTGTCAGACTTCCAAATATTACAAGCACAGACACAAGCATGGAACTAAATTCTGTTTACCCTGGGGAAGAGGTAATTTCTTTTGTGAGTTCAAAACTTGCATAGCCTGGATCTTTTGTTACACAATGACTGATCTCAACATTGCTTTCACGAGCGCAGGTGAACAGAGGCACATCTAAGAGAATTCACTTGTGCTTATCCGAGCAGTCCTGCAGGAGACAGTTGTTCTGCATCTGTGCAGACTGTCTCTAGAGACCAAAGAAATCTGAGGAAATCAGGCAAGATGGTTTAACTGGCAAAGCTGCTTCTCTTGTAACAATAATGTGATACAGTTCTGAGCCATCGCTCCTGCAAAAGGAAATAGGATTAAGTTGTCGACTACCACCAACGTTCACTATCATGGCAGGATGATGAAACCTCTTCTGACAGGGATTTTTAATTTCTTTATTGTCTGTCTAATATCTGAAGGTGGTTTAGTGAAATTCATTTTCGTTCCTAAAAGGTCTTCTGAGGAAAGGTCTGGTCAAGTGCAAGAGTTAAATATTCATTGGCAGCATGTGTTTTGTCACACACACTGTGTCTGATGTGAATAATTGATGCTCACTGTTAGAGTTTCAGGGCTCACCAGGGCAGACAGATGTGTTTGTGAAAACAATGTCTCAGTCCACACTATGACACAGAGAAGCAGCCTCACAGCTCCCCAAAAACTGTGGATCCTGGCAAAACAAAGAGTACTAAGTTGCTCCATCAACAGACTTCGAATACACAGGAATACACAGTATAACCAACGAATCACTGTGAAAACTATCTTGTGTAAACATTTACTGCATTTGTAAGCAACAAGATGCTGCCATTTTATTGGTAAGTCCACAAGGACACTGCTTGTTACAACGGGAAAATGCTAGTGCAAAATGAGCGGTCTCTTTGGCGTCATCTTGGGCAACATGAAGATCCAAGTGTTATTTTCTCTAAAACTAAGTATATTATGATATATTAATAAACCACATCATGAAACTGTAAACCATCCTGATCTGTGATAGTGAGGAGTGCCAGAAAATGTAAACATGAAAAGCAAAGCTACAACTTAATGTTCTTTACACCCTATTTGACAACATTACATATGACAGTGGTCTCCCTTTTCCTCCATTAAGAGGTTTTCAACAATGTGTTGTTTAACTTGCTTCTTTTGTTCAAGCTTTGAACGAGTCTAAAACCTCTGTTACATGCCTTTCCTTTTGTCTCCCACTGTGCATAAATCTCTGCATGAACACATAATAGAGACAAAATGTAATAAAATAATCTTTTTATTCTTTTAAAGACTGGTAAACTATGTTCTTGGACTGAAACTGGTCTGGATTTGCTGAATCTGAGAAAGCTCAAAGCATTGTCATTTTACATTTGACAGACAGAATTGGTTCAGGGGGCAGGAATACCTCACATTTTCAAATTAGAATTGAAAGAAGCATTAGCTCAGTTTACGACTGTCCGTTCAGTGTAGTTAGAAGAGCAGATCAACACCAGTGTATTACTACAATTTGAAAGTAGCTGTCTTTAAACATGACAGCAGCCTATTTTTTTCACACTGAACGGCTCCCCATCCTCATGAAGGGAAGGAAGGGTGTTCTTGGTGGTGCATCAATTTTTTGTACAACGCTTCTCAAAGATAGTTGGTTTATTTTCAGTGTATTTACCTTGAAATGCAGTTGGACAAAAATTTGGTTTTCCTTATTATCTTTATTTTCTGTAGATTAGAAGCAGATGAAACAATAACCAAGTTCATAAGTTTAGTATACAAGATCAAGACCCCCCTCATAGATGAACAGGTTCCTTAGTTCATTTCAACTGTCCTGCCTTATGCCACATGTGCAACAGAGTCACAGTTTAAATCCCTTTGTAGCCTCTTAAACTTTACAACAACCCGAGAGCAACTTTGAAACTTCTAGTTATGAAAGACTCTGTAATATTTACAGTTTGCGTCTGCGTAGCTGAATTGCTATTCAAATTTCAGGAGAATGCATATCTGTGATGTTGAAGTAAAGTAGAACAAAGTGATATATCAAGGAGAACAGTATTGCTGGGTCGGCCAGTTCTACAGCCAGGGGCCTAAATTAGCTGAATAAACTATACCCTTATCACGCAGTGACAAAATCTCCTGTCTGACGCACAAATACAGCAACTCATTTTTAGGAAAATAGGTCACTGTAATAATGTCCCCCCCCCCCCCCCCCCCCCGCAAAAAAAAAAAAAAACTCAAAACAAGCTGTTCATTTTTAAGTTCCCTGCGTGACGTTTTTAAGTTTGAAACACTAGTTTACAAATCAAAAACCATTCCTCCTGAGAGGAAAAGAGGAACCAATTCATCAATTTCACATGAGCTACAGGCCTGGTATTAGCAATGCTTTGTTTTCCTTCCTCTGAGCAGGCCTGCGTGATCACAGCCTCACAACAAGAGCAACACTAATATTGTTATTATTATTTCTTGGGTGAGCCAGAGCTACACAGGACTAACCTTGTGATTGAAGTTTTGTTTGGGTGTGTGTGTGTGTGTGTGTGTGTGTGTGTGTGTGTGTGTGTGTGTGTGTGTGTGTGTCAGAGGCCCACAAATGAGTCTAAAGTGCAGTGATTGATAGGAAGCAAAATTCATTATCTTAAAACATCACAGATGCAGGAGACACAAAATGTGAAAAGCAACATGAGTAAAGCGGCGTAATTACTGCAATCACCATCAATAACATGAATTTAAATATGCAGACTGCCATCACACAGTATATCCCCAAAGCAATAAAAAAAAACATTCTCATGAGCAAAAAAATTCCATCAATTCTGATTAAAATATTCTGTGAAGCTGCTCATTAGCATATCACTCTGAGGCGTGAAGGTGCAACTATGATCTTGAAGCATTTTGCTGCACAAGAAAATCTTTCTTTTTACAGAATGTGTCCGAGCAGACAAAAGTGAGGAAAAAAGTTGAAAATATTTCAGAGGCAAAAAAAAAGTCATTTGCAGCAAGCTGTCTCAAACCATTTTTTACTCTTATATTTTATTTTTAATCTCCTGGGCTAAAACTGCTCATCAGCCATTTATAGTAGTCAAAACCTAAAATCCTGCAGCCATGAGACCAACTAGAAAAAGCATTTACCATCTGCAATCGCC